GAGGATAGAAACGGGTTTGGGACACAAGTTGTTCCATGGAGACGATGGCAGTTAGTCGTAGGAAATAATAAACACGATTAAGATGAAGCTGGATGGTGGCAGCTGCATGGAGGAGTGTTTGTTTGAGGCATGGTTAAAAAGGAATAGGGTTTCAAATAGTGTGGGAACTTTTTGAGCTTAGTTAAGAGGGATTCTGTGTGCATTTGGTTTTCCTAGTTTGTTTCCAACCAGTGTTTGTAAACCAAGTCCAAAAATGTAATTCAGAGTGCGTTATGTGAGGGGGCGGTTTTGGAAGGATGGGATTTCATTGCATTTTTTACTGAGAGATGCAAGACGTAGTAAGTAAGTTAGTTGTCTTTTTTGATATAGCGTCGTTCACAGACCAGAGTGACAAACTGCTTTACAATTGGTTGTTTTTAGCGCATTTTTGTCTCTCAATCCACACAGAGATGGGAGCGGGGTCGCCAGTACAGGAGGCACATGCCAGACCATTTGTACATGTTTTTAGTGGTAGGGGAAACCGGAGTACTCGGAGGAAACCTATGCGGACACGGGGAGAACATGCAAACTCCACACAGAAAGGCCTGGAGGTGTCATCATACCTTAACATATAGGCAAGGAGTAAATATAGAGGACGTAATGTGTCTACTATAATCATTTATGACACCTGTGGCGTATTGTTTAATGTGTTCTAGGTATGAAATCACAATATGGAAATAAAACAATGTTATAAAAGAGTAAAAGAGGTAAAACAATGTTTAAAAGAGAGGGCTGTTTTGGAAGGATGTGATTTCATTGCTTTATATATTCAGAGTTGTGCGTCAGACATAGGAGTGATTAAAGAGGACGTAATGTTTCTGCAATGATTATTTATGACAACTGTGGCGTATTGTTTAATGTGTTCTATGCATGACATCAAAATGTAGAGGTGAAACAATGTTATAAAAGAGAGAGGTCTGCGCCCTTCCTTATTCTGTCTCCGCTATGGCTTACGCAACTTCAGTGAAACATGGTCAAATCAAAGGCACCGCTCCACCACTGATCAAGCTGCGATGCAAGAATATTTTGTTCCTTCGAGCTAAAAGGACAGGGCAAGGAGGAGAATCATCCGTATAGCACAGTATCACAAAAGAGAATTGCAGAGGAAAGTTAGTGATACCAGTGGGAGGGGCTAGGTGGCAGTGGTTAAAGGAGTGAGTGGAGAGCAAAGGCTTCTTGCATATAAGAGATTTTAAAATATTCAAACATGGATTTCTCAAAAGACAGTGAAACCAACTATCACAGGGTTAAAAACTGAGAAAAAAAATGTACCCCAGCTTTAACTATTTCAAGGTTCAAGAAGACCATAGCAAAGCTTCTGCAAAGCTTCTGGGCGGCACGGTGGCTGAGTGGATAGCACTCTCGCCTCTCAGCAAGAAGGTCTTGGGTTCGAATCCCGGTCGGACCAGGGCCTTTCTGAGTGGAGTTTGCATGTTCTCCCCGTGTCTGCGTAGGTTTCCTCCGGGTACTCCGGTTTCCCCTACCACTAAAAATATGTCCAATAGGCATGTCTGGCATGCGCCTCCTGTACTGGCGACCCCGCTCCCATCTCTGTGTGGAGCCCATAATTAACAATTGTAAACTGCTTTGAGACTCAGATCTGCAGTGAAAAGGCGGTATATAAATAAAGATTACTTACTTACTTCTATTGAAGATTCTACTGAGATTCTCACGTTTGCATACGGATGTAGCACTTAAGCCTTGCATTATTATTGTCTCTCCTGTTGCTCTGACAAAAAGTGAAAATTAGGATTTTTATTTCAATGTCTACTTATCAAGTGGATGTTGAAACAGACAGACACTGTTTACTTGCCCAAGCAATTTATCTAGTGTTTCCAAATCTAAATGTGTTGCAAAAACTGTGGTTACGGCTGTCATGGAAGTCAGTTAAACCAGTAATTAGCCTCTGTCTATAACGAATAAAAACACAAATACCGTCAGAAGACATCAGTAGAATGTTGGATTGGTTTATGTCCCCTACATTTACTCAACATAATGATAAAATAATAATACATTTTATTTATATGGTGCCTTTCTGGGTCTCAAGGTCGCCTTACAAAAAAATGCACATACACCCATATGGTTATATGTGTATGACTCCCTGTAGGTAATATGAATACAAAATGTATGTCATATCTAGTTTACTTTTTGAAATATAGAACTTTTTCTATAGAATTCTTACTGTTTATGTCGGAGTTAGTGTTGAGTCAAAGTTTGTAGTTGCAGACTTGATTTTGCAGCGTTACCTTGACATCTGCTGATCACCTGTTGTCAATAAAAGGTCGAAGAAACCACACAACCAACTGAGGAATGCAAACGGCTTTGTGAAAACGTTCAGAAGATGTCACAACAACAGGCTGTCCAAATGGATGGTGTACTGTGGGCTATTACTTTAAAAGCTAATCGAGGTAAATAGCAAAAACTTTCCATAGTGGAAAAATGAACATTTGGGATACACACAGACATTGTACTTAAAGCTGGGGTACCTAATTATTACATATGGTTTGTCCCACAGAATAAGTCTTGTTAAAGTTAAATGTTGCAAAATTCTTCACCTCACAGTCGGAACTTCTTGTGAGATAAAGAATCCAAACCAGACCAGAACATGGCCAGCTGACAGACCATCCTCCGTAATCGCTAATGATCCACTTCCCAAAGAGGTCAAAGTAACGTCTGAACAAACCACCAACATGCAACAGTTTTTATGTATTTATCACGAAAAAAGACGGTAAATGGTCAGCGTAAATGACTTGTGGAGACGAAACTATAGACACAAATCTTCCTGCTTGTGACATGTCATAAATCTTCCAATTTGAAAAGAGGACTGGGGTTATCAATGTGGATTTTGAGGTTAATTTGGGAGGAACTGAGAGAGAGGATGGGCTGAGGAGCCACGCAGATAAATCCACTCACACATTCTAAGCATGCATGTTTGACAAAGGGACATTTTGCTCTTGAATGTGTGCGGCGGGGTCATAAATCTGTATCTGCGCTCGGAGCCCCTCTAGAATGACACCCAGCTCTGCCATCTGCTTCTAGTTAAGGCGGTGTAATTGCAAAACTGTGGCAAGTGTTCACTCACTACTGATATTCTGGAAAAATAGAACACCAAATCAGGCACATTATTTGGTTTTTTGTTTAATATCAACATTTGTCTGGTAATAACATTTTATAGCCACTTTCAGGCACAATATTCTGTTTTGTAAAGTCCTAAGTGCAGTTTAGGATAGAATTATGGTTATGTCACTGCACAATGAAATGATAAAAATGATCTCCCTCTGTCTGGGCAAACATGAAAAAGTATTGGAGCCTATATACACACTACAGCGGTGGTATGTGTGAATGCAACATTATTATTTAATTATGTTTGAAAGCCCTACAGTATAAATCGATTGATCTTGCATCGCCATCAGCCTGAATGGTATTTTTTACCAGAGGGCCGCTTGTTTCTGTGGTAACGGCCCTCATTTATCACCATGATTCCACAAACCTTCCATTGTAGGCAAACATATATTTCCATATTTAACCTTGTTAATTCCATATTCAGGTGACCTTTCAGAAACCACTTGAGTAAAGTAATCCATATACTATACAAATAATACTATTATTATTTGAAAAAAAAAGGCGAGACACACTCACACATAGCCCCCATTAATAATGCATTTATTGCTCACCACAGGAGAGTTTGGTTCCAGCCCAAAATGTATTTGCCCATTATTTCTATTCAGATAATAATGGAGCTTGTTTTTTTGCTCCATTATTAAAAGCTGTTTTGTAATGTAATGTTATTAAATATGTATTTTTGTCCCTGGAACTGAGGGGAAAGGCAATAAATGATAAATGTAAAACACAAAAACAGTCAAAAACATTGAGTCACTATGGTTGATGAGCAAAGTTGAAGAGGAGCCATCAAAAACCAAACCAAATACAACAAAAACTAACTCTTAGAACTAAAGCTAACTGTTATCATGTTTTATACAACAATACAATTCTGCCTTCATCATACATTTACAGAGCACCAACTTCTGAAAAGAACTCCATTATTGAGAATAACCAATCATGATGTTACTGAAGGTGATAAATCGTGTCTTTGATGGTAACTCAGTGGAATGTTTTCATGGTTTTAGCTCTTATCTGAAACGGTGAGTTCAGGCCGAGGGTGAGAACGCATTTAAACATATGACTCTAATAATGTTGTTATCTTATCACACATGTAGCATCAGCATCAAGTGTTGCTAACGTACAAAATTGTAACTATAGTGTCATGAACGTAAAGCACAAGCGCACGTAAGATTATGTTTCACTCACTAATGACATCACTCGTTAGCTTGGACACACACAGACGTTCCTTGCTCTCATAGAAAGATACAATGAACACATGTAAACAGGCCTTTCCGTATGTTTTTCATTCTGCTGGTGGAATATTCTCTGTCATGGTTTTACTAGTTGTTTATTTTTTTTATTTTTTTAAATCAATATCACCTTTTTGGATATCCCAAATCAAATTGAACTTAATGTACAAGCCTGGAAAAGATGCCCCTACTTGGCTAAGGTTTCAGCCTAAAATGACCAATTAAAACTTTGAGCACAAGTACAGTATAGAACATCTCTCTGCCCGGGCAATAAACAGTGAAAATCAATTACACCATGGTTTGAAAATCTCTTCTCATAAAAAAATATAAGATAAATATTTGCTGAAGTCTAATGATATTTTCTCAGGCTTCTTTCCACCATGTGCATGTCATAAATGTAAAATGGCAAAATCTAAAAATGGGTGTGTTTGGATTCCTTTTTGGAGCTTGTTTGGATCCCCCGGTGCACTCGTGTCTTAGCCGTTACATGATTCTCACTTCACTGAACAGCACCATCATGATAAATGATTCATGGCCCTGGGGACGCTGCTGTTGTGTGAATGCAAAGATTCAATTTCTGTGTTTTTTTCATGAGAATCTTGTCAGAGTATGAATCTCTTCCAGAGGAACGTCCATTCGCAGGTCACTCAAATACTGGCTGACAGATTTGGCTTGGGAAAGGCCAAAACATATAGCTACAAGGCCACAAATGGGTACATTTAGGTTTCAACTTCTTAGTGCAACATTCTGTAGACTCTGTCAAAAGATAAGTATAATATTTTCTTAGAAATTGTTAATCGCTATGGCAATGGTCCGACTAGAAGCCTGATACAAAGGACGATGACAGATTCAGTCCCACAATCTGTTGTTGACATTTTTGTGGCAATAAAACTCTAAAGAATAATATTACATCTGTTTTGTATAGCGCTCCATTAAATACTTTGCCATTGTGGCGCCACCTGCATGTGAAAGCATGCAGACTTCTGAATCAGGACAGGGCCTGGTTAATACTGTGATGGGAGACCTTGAGAAACACCAGGTGCCACAGTGGTGCGGCTGTGGCTGTAAATGGCCAAACTTCGATTGTGTCCTTAGGCAAGGGATCTGTGAACGGTCAGAGGGGCTGATGGCGTGTACTGGTTGCCTTGAAGTGCTATATATAAAAGAAAAGCGCTATACACGTAAAACTGATGCATCAGCCCTCTAACCAATGTCAACCATTCACGCACACACCAGACTCACACTAGGCAATGTGGGTGAAGTGTTTTGCCAAAGGACACAACATCAGTTTGGCACTCTGCAGAGCAACTGTCAGAGACCAACATTATAAGATCACAAAGAGGAACAATCTGGAAATAGCGACAGGGTAAAGGAATAACTTGTCGAACGAATTTAAAGCTAAGAAAAATGCTTTTATCCACCACAAGCAAATAAAACAGCTAAACAGTGTTGGCTACTGTTAGGTTTATCTGAATTATGTAGTGTTTACGCTCACGTTATATCTTGTATACTGTACATATTCTAGGCATAGTTCTTATCTCCAGATACTGCAGTTTATCTGGGTGGTGATGTTTTTTGTAATCCAGCATAAATCTATAACAAATAAACCTGCCACTTCACTCTCCTCATCAACAGCAACTTGTATTTTAATATTATCATTATTTTTTTTCAATCTAGAAATCCTACTGACAACACAAATCACAGTGCGACTGAATTGATTGCCGTCCTTGTCCAGCGGCTCCACCCTTCACGCCCCATCGCAGCCAACCACGTACACCGCCCACTCCCGCCCACTCTGCTTTGCTCCGGTTCAGTGGTGCAGGTGGAGAGGCCTGACCTACAATCTGTGGTGATGAATGACTCTAGTTGCGCTGACGTAAGCAGTCCACTGTGTTTGTGTGTCTGCACCTCAGTCAAGGCTGTTCCCTATCCTCTTCATTAAATAGGCCTCCTGTCTGCGGATTACAACTGCTGTGTTTAAGAGGTACGGCTATTGGTAATAAGAGGTGATGAATATACATGCATTCATTACAATAATTAGCTATGGGAGATCTAATATTCCCAGTAAATGTTATGCATGTCACTTAATTTTAATGAGCAAAAACATTGTGAATTTCTTCCACCTTATTCCATACATCTAAGGAAGGGGAAGGTTTAACCAGAGGTATTAATTGCACGGCTGCATGTGATGGTCACCCTCCTTTAGGGCAGTGGCCTGAAGCAAAAAGACCTGTCAATAAGCCTGTGGTCTTCCAAAAAATGTAAATCTTAAAGACACCAATCTTAAAGTTTAAAGACACTGCAAATGCTTATCAGCAACACAGTGATTTGTGACCCTGAAATGTTTTATTTTGAATCCCAAAAAAAAAACCATAACGTTGAAAAAAAGGTACAGGGAAAAGGTTAAGTTAATGTTACTTCCTGAAAAAAATCTGTATCCCATGAAAAATTGCTAAAATGACACATAATGTCTCAAAGCGAATTTATGGTCACACACACAAGCATTACCTTTGCCGTTAATGAGAAAATATAGGTACAGTAGCTAGCGGTAGGTGGGGGATTGTAAGCTGGGTATAGTAGATCTAGAAGGAAAATAGTGCATTTATACCATATTTTTTCCAAAACTAGATTGATCTAGTTAACCAACAGCAGACTTTGAGATTTATTTATAACCACATGATGTTCCTATTGAGTTAAGATAAACGGCCATGAAGAAAGTAGTTTGTACCTCCAGACCCTGAAGCACTTCCAAGCTCAAGAGCTCATATAGCAATTTTTATTCTATGGGAATTAGGAGTAAGGTTGATAGATCTCAAGACCACGATTTTCCATGTGAATGAGTAAATGTACATATTTGAGAAGAGTCTCCACTCATCCTAAAGTGGAGTGGTTGCTACAACCATAGACTGTTTATTAGGAGTGGACTGCTGACGTCACTGACAGAAGAATCCAATTTGAAGGTAAGTGAGCAGGAGCCAATTTACTTATATGGGCATTTGTTTTGATGGCGCTTTCTTCTTACCGTGACAGATGCATATGTCTTGCTAAGATTTTTGGTGAGTCCCCGGAAAAGAAGGTATCTGATTGGTCAACCCTTGCATGGCTCATATCTGGATAAATATAACAATATAAACACCAGGATTGGTGTTTGGTGAGTGTGGTGTAAGTGTGATTGGTGATTGTGACAGAAACGGTTACTGAGCGCAAGAAGTTTACTTTTCAATGGACGTCATTTAGGGACATAGAGAGTTGGAGCAAAAACTTTGCCCATGAGCACTTCCCAATTGACCTTCATTGATCAACGGGTTAGAAATGTCCATCTATATACAGTCTATGTTTACAAGACACAGTACACAAGCATTGACAAAATTAAACCCTATTGTAGGTCCGCAGGTACAGAAAATATACTTCGCTTCTGTCAATGTCCTAATATTCATACTCACGCACACCCACCCACACATACCCATATCTCCATAGCACAGTAAAACAAAAACACGTGGTGCCCTAATTGGAGTCATTTCCATATTGTACAGTACGCGCCTTTTAAAAGTCCTTTGTTCACTCACGACTTCCACAGAAGGGAGCTTGGGGGCACTAAAAGTCTGCTCTCGGATCTCTTCTGCTCCCTGTATTCCACACACACTCACAAACCCCTCTCCCCGCTCTTTTGTGCTGCTCCCCGAATAAATTAACCCTCGGGAGTGTGCGTGCGCGCGTGCCAGGACAAAAAGGAGGGAGGGAGGGGGAAGAGACCAAGGGGGAGGGGGCTGAGCTGTACTGGGGGAGGGGGGTAGTGGGGGGACCTACGGGGGCCGGGCCTGGTGGCGGAGAGTCGGCTTTCACTTCGCCGTGTGTGGAGCGAAGCGGTGCCCTGAAGCGCCTCTGTCCATTACGCACACGCGCCTCTGTGTTCACGCCGCGGCTGTGTGCTGATGCTGAGCGACTGACGAAGAGGATACGAGGAAGATACGAGGAAGATCTTCTTTTCACTTCATTGGTCAAGGAGAAGAACACATCCCCAGCTTTGCGCGTCTATACCTGGCACAGCTTAAACGCAGGATATTCCATTCGCGACGCGCAATTCTGCCGGGTTTTTGGACCAGGCGTGTGGATATATGTAAAATACCCCCAAACGACAACTTAATTTTGTCAGTTTCATTCATCACGTCGCGTCTACGAGATTGGCTGAGTGGAATTGGAGACTGGTTTGCATGCTAATCAGCTTTTTGGAGCAAAGAGGGGGATAACCATAACGTGCACCCGTATCAAAGTCTCCAATGCATGTAAGTGACAGCTCGCTTTCTTCTATTGTCATTTTACAGCCACAAACTGAACCTTATGAATGATGATCAATAGATATGAGCGTGCGTTAGGTTTCTGTTTTATCATGCAGGGAATAGTGGAGTGCACCATGCTACAATGTGGCTGTGGGATGTGGGGGACCATGGCAGACTGTAGTAAAACGAGATCAATGGAGCGTGCTGATGCAGGAGGAGACTATTGATCAGGGATGCTGGTGTGATGCCTGATGAAAATGTATGCCTGATTTGATAGTCTAATAGGATATAGCAACCCAATGAATCTCCAATGTAGGTTTCTTTAGTGCTCATGATATGTATGTGTATATGGTTATCTATAAGAAATCATCCCACTTGCAAGTTTTTAGAGACAAAGCTTTCTGGTAAGCTCTACATAGGCTTTTACTTTGGATTCCTGTGTTTTTCATTCTCATGTTAGTACTCTGAGATTGAATTGGGTTCCCTTATATTTTTCAACTACAAGCCAGTACTTAGCTTACATTGACCTACACAGAGATCACATCTAGTGGTTGCTCTTTAGATTCTATTTCTGGAGAAAGGAACTTGCAACTTACTTTGTTTCGTAGATGTCTATCATTATGAAAGCTGAGAAAGTAGAGTGTGTGAGATGCAGCAGTAAGTACAGATGCCAAATATGATTGTAGGTTGTTTAGGGATGCAGCAAATCAGACCTGACACATCCTTCTTTATAGCCCCCACTTTTGCCTGTATCTGTTTACATGGCCGAAAGTTAAAATGGGAACCCAAAGGCATATTTAACCATCTGACCACAACAGTTATTCTAGTCCGATCTGGTGTCTATACAGGCGGCCACAGCTCCCGGTTTTTTGCTGTCAGGAGGAATAATGATATGGGGCTTATTATTGCACTCTCCACTTTCATGGTCCAATGTGGTCCAGTTGTTCTGCTCTGCTGCTGCACTGTGAGCAGTTTTCTTAAGAGCGATGAGGCGAGCTGCAAGATCGCTCAGACTGAGAACAGAAGTTTGAGGCAAGTTACAGCCAGGGGGAGCTGAAGTTTGCTGCATAATGTGATTGTATATCCAGAGACATAACATTCATAAACACGTAACTGCAAGTGAAAGTGTGTAGAGCGGAGGAAAAGCCATGCCAATAGAAAATGATTCTCTCAATATGTTTTGTGATATGTTCAAAAACAGGGTTGGTGGACTGAATGAAGTTGAATAAAGTTACTCTCAAATAGGCTCAAAACAATATGCATTATAGACACCTGAAGGAAAAGTGTAAACATCTCGTTGGAGAAACACTATTTGATTATATACTGTATGTGTATAAATGGACGGTGCTATTATGCTAGCTCTATGAAGCCCAATAGAGATTTCGAGCATCTTGCTATGGCTCCATTCACTTACTTAATACAGTAAACTCCTCGTAATTGTTTGTCACACTCTCCATTTTGGAATAAACATTTGTGGCAAAACTCTATGTATGATCCTGGTGTTCTTATATTGAATCAAGTGTTAATCAAATTAATATTCCTAATAACTGTATACTCAGGTATGTTTTGCTCCTGAATTTAGCTTCTTCTATCAAACAGCACAAACGTTAATAGACCAACGCCCCTCCTGGTTGGCTCTTTGGTTGCTTGGTTGTTGCTACCCATGGACTGGGCTTCAGACTCCTGCCCATGGAGCCTGTTTAAGTTAGCTCTAATCAGGTTTTTCCACAATAATGCAAACACTATGGGTAATGTCAGCATCCGGTTAGTCAACTACTTCTACTGTCTATGTACAGCATATGATCCTCTTTATCTGTATACAGGGCTCCTCCTAGATAAGAGGCATATGTACAGTCTCTTTAAAAAACAATTGAATACAAATACGAGTTTACTGTAATCAGGACTTGTGCCTGTATGAAGATTTTGGACCTGGTCCAAATTCTTGTCATCCATTCAATGTATAGCTTTACATTGTTTGCCAGACTTTTTTTTTTACAAACATCTCTTATTGTGCACTAAAATAAATGTTTGAGCTACACTCCACTAAAAGTCCTCCTCACTGCTGCAGGAGAAGCCCCAATTAACATTTTTTCATGGATAAAGCTTATCTTGTGTCACATGTCCCCACTCAGACCCCTTTCCCCCATATTGTATATTGGATTAGTGTAGGTTTGAGTCTTGGCTTGGCTTCTGCATCTTATTTGTTTTCTAAATCCATACATTTGTGACTATGGGGACTCACTCTTGCATTTTTAAAACTGCTTGAAGCTTTCATCAGTTGGGACTATGCTGAAAGATTATTGCCCAGTTTCCAGTCTTAGGAGATCCGCTTTGTTTATTGTTAGGGTTTATAACATTGGAGATGTACAAGGAAGTCTGCAACTCTCGTGCAATCTGAAGTTTACTTTCTGCTGCTGATATATACAGTGTAATCAAAGTACACGTTTGCCACCCACATTGACCTGGGCTGCTGAGACCGGGGTCCATTGTTGTGCTCCCTGCGGTTGTCACAAAGACCACATCGGAAAATAATCCTTGTAAAATCTGCTAACATGGCCCACGGGGATCATCGCTATAACTATAAATGAAATGTTTGTGTTGGTAATGCCAGATAATATGGGGTAGTCTGGAAAACCATTTGTCTGGTATTTGTAGCATAAATACCAAACTATAATGAATAATTATTGATGACCGAATACAAGTTTTACAATGTATAGGAGGGGTAACAAGTGTGATAAGATCAGATTCAGATCAGATTAATTTATTTGCCATTTGCAGTAAAACCACATTGGAAAGACTGTGCAAGACTACCCCAGTGTGCACCAACCAGAGCTCTTGCCACAACGCCATCTTTACGGCGCCATGCCATAAGATATGCATTTGGAATATCACTCCAATTCCATGGTTATAGATGGCACAACACAAGGCACAACTTAAGTATAATTGCTGTGGCATTTGTGAGTTGTCATGAGTAGTAGTAAAATGGAGCCTTTAATTTAACTTAACTACCTTTAACTTACAAGCCTATATGCCTTGCACCAAGTTAAGTTAAGTTATGTGTTATTTTCCCTGTAGGGACATTTGTCTTTTACAATTTACCCATCCTACAATGTCGATGGTTAGCACTCATGCTTCTCATCAAGAAGGTCTTGAGTTCAATTCCATCTCCAGACTGAGCCTGTCTCCTTACTGTTCTATTTTCCACCTCAAGTTAAAGTCAGGTTGAATTGAGCGTTGGGGCATACTGCTCCACTTAACCATCTGAAAAAGCTGCATATGCCATAGGAGAGGTACAGTATATAAGAAATACGTCCTCTTTTTTCAGCTGATACATTTGAAAATTACAAACACTGAGTCTGATGTACCTGAAGTGCAGCCTGGCTCCAATGATTCCCCTCGTCATATTTGGATATGAAACAAAACTGTTTTCTATCACAGTGAAGTCACAACGGCCCCTGTTCCCACAGTTTGAAATGGATAGCAGATGACGACCAAAAAAAGCTACTAAAGCTACTGAAACATAAATACAACTGTTTGCTTCTTGTGTGACTCCGCAAGTAGCAAGTGGAAATATTTACTTTTTGTCTGCATTTCTGATTCCTGGGGTCTTGTGCTGGTGTTATTTACCTCTCAGACCACCATCCTCGAGTGAACCCGGTCACTCTATCTTGTTCCATCAAAATGCATCTTAACGGCTTTGTTTTCCTAAAATTTCCCATTTTATTTTTTTCAAAAAACCAGACATATTATTAGCTGTAGTGTAATAAAACCACAAAATACGATTCTCCATTGATAAGAAAATCCATTGAAGATTTCATTGCTTTTCATTACGCATGTGCTTGGGGGGAACTTGGTGGCAATGGCTTCACCAATCTTGTCTGCCACGCTGCTGATAATAATCATGAAATTTAATTACAGTTTGCACAATGTGAGCATGTGCGAGCTTTAGGGGAAACTTCAATAACGAATACAGCCATAAATATGCAATATCTATAATACCATACGGTTTGAAATATGAGGTACAAGTTCACATGAGTAGGTCTATAAAAATAATTACTCTTGACTTCCATAAATTGCTAGATATACTCCTTAAAAAGAGCCATAATCTAAGGTATGTACATCCCTGGTCGAGGCATACCCCACCTCCCCAAAGCAATGAAATGTCCAATATGAAAAGCAATTTATCCGCGGCTCTGGAAAAGATATTAGGGCTAAAAGTAGTGGCCCAATCAAAGGAAATGACTGTGCTCTCGTGTCAGAGTGAGAATGATGGAGCATCCTGGGGTTTTGAGACGTCTCTGTTTGTACTGGGGCCCACTCATGATGTCAGAGGATTGGTCTTTATCCACACTCTTTTGTCCAGTTTAATTCGACCGCTGATGGAGGGTCAGCTGAGGAGGAGACCCTGAGCCAAAGGACAGGGAAAACTGCCTTTGATGGCCCTAACAGTGTTGTAAATAGTATTGACAGTAAATTGTGTTGAAGCCATGAGGTCTGACGTAGATTTATTTATTGTCCTTTTGTGGTAGTTCCCTGTTTTCTTTGTGATCTCCCAGCTGTTTTGTTGTCAACAGTTGTTTTTTTTGTTCATATCATTGGAAGGCATATGTCCACCTTTGTGATAATGACCAGGGTGGCATTTATAGAGCGCAGACCTCCACCACGAAGGCAAGTTCATTCCAGTTCCACAAACCCTCCATCCAGACAGTGATCACCTGCAAAATTGAGTTTGTTGTTCCTTGGGCCATTGCACACGTTTTCTGAATTTTGTCCAAATCCTTACATAACTTTTGGAGTTATGTTGTTCAAAGAGACACAGGCAAGCTATTAGCCAAATGTTAATTGCGATGGAGATTCAATCATTGGTCAACGATACAAAAAAATTGATACAAAAGTGGTTTAGGAAGTGATAACGTTTTTGTTAGACGCTAAAAAACTGTAATCTGATTTGCACATATTAAAGGAGGCGTCAGCGACTTAAAATGTTTAGTTTCTAATATAACGTA